GGGGGTCGGGCTGGGGCCGGCGTCGGCGTCTGCGCTGGCGTAGGCGGTGGAGGTGGTGGCGGCTGGAGGTGGGTAGGTGGAGGTGGGGGTTGGAAGACTTAGGGAAGTGGGCGTAGGGAGGGGCAGTGGGGTCAGTCGGGCGCCCTTGTCTTGGTCAATCTTGTCTTGGTCAACCTTGTCATTGCGGCCATGCTGGATTAAGGAATCCTCTGGTGCGTTGTCGTCAGATGGCCGGCGCTGGTGCTGGAGTCGGAGATGACGTCGGCGCTGATGTAGGTGCTGGCGTGGGTGCAAGCGCCGTAGGTCCAAGCGCTGCTGCTGGCGAGGGTGCTGATGAAGCAGCTGACGGGCGTGCCGGGGTCGGGCTGGGGCCGGCGTCGGCGTCTGCGCTGGCGTAGGCGCTGGAGTTGGTGGCGGCTGGAGGTTGGTAGGTGGAGGTGGGGTGGGAAGATAGAGTGAAGTGGGCGTAGGGAGGGGCAGTGGGGTCAGTCGGGCGCCCTTGTCTTGGTCAACCTCATCCTCGCGGCCCTGCTGGATTAAGGAATCCGCTGGTGCGTTGTCGTCAGATGACCGGCGTTGGTGCTGGAGTCTGTGATGATGTCGGCGCTGATGTAGGCGCTGGCGTTGGTGCAGGCGCCGTAGGTCCAAGCGCTGATGGTGGCGAGGGTGCTGGTGTAGGAGCTGGCGAGTGTGCCGGGGTCGGGCTGGGGCCGGCGTCGGCGTCATGTGTGTCAGAAACAAGGATGCCGCCACACAGTGTACCAATAGATGTGCACATTTTCGCCACTGCTTAGGAGAACAAGAAGCCCAGGGGGGACACTTTGGTGGAGGCGCCAGCGTTGGCGGTGGTGTTGGTGCTGGCGTTCGGGGCGGGCAATGCGTCGTGACAGAGGACCAGTCGGAATGTCGAGTTGGTGGAATTGGTGGAGGCTGGCGGTCGAGGTGTTGAGGTTGTGGTGGCTGGAGGTCGGTAGGTGGAGGTGGCACTGCGAACCCCGAGGGAACTGGTTAGTGGGAGTGGAGATGGAATCACGGCACCCGGGGAAGCGGATGGGAGCCGTGCGCAATCCATCGCTGGGCAAGGACGCGGGTGGAGTGGCCGTGGCCTCGGACACCTTCACGTACCCATTGTGTCATGGCGTCGTAAAGTGCTGCCGTCGGCAGGGGGGTCTGGGCGTGTCGCTGGTAATTGGCGCACCTGTACGTCGCATACACCAGGAGGGCGATGGTCGTGAGGAGGAGGCTGGAAATGTCGGGTTGGAAGGAAGGCTGGAAATGTCGGGTTGGGTACTCCTCGGTGTTTTGGTGGGGGGGCCCTCTGGGGCTGTCTTGGGGGCCTCCTGGATAATCGAGGGCTCCTCTGGAGCTGTCTTGGAGGCCTCCCTTCCCTGGGACCGGTTTTTCTACTCGTTTTTTGATGTTCCCAGGGCTGGTTGAGGGCCATCGGCAACCGGTGGCCGAAAACGGCCGCAAACCTCCCGTCGTGATCTTTTGACGACGCGAGGGGATCTGGGGGAGGGGAGAGAGGAGGGAGGGATGCCCGGTCATCCGACGCCGTGTGTGCTTCGTTACACGTCGGCTCCCAGAGATCTGGACGCCTTCCACGGGATCGGCTTGTCATCCTGATCCAGATATCCGATATCGTGATTTCTTCAATGCGGGGTCCCTGGAGTGGCCCCGAGATCCCGACAACTTCCATAGGCCCGGTGTTTCGTCCGAAATGTTTGACGGTCCCTTGAGGGCCTCAGGAAGCCGAGAATTGTCTGGAAGCTTCGGGATCGGCCAGAGTACTTGAGGGCGTCTGGGGAGAAAGCTCTTGGGAGACTTTGGGGGCTTCCTGGCGGCCCCTTGGGGGCCACTTGGGTGGTTTTTCGGGAGCTCTTGGAGGTTTCTTGTGGGGCCTCCGGGGTGTCTTTTGGGGAGGAAGGCTGGAAATGTCGGGTTGGGTACTCCTCGGTGTTCTGTCGGGGAGCTGTCTGGGGGGGCCCTCTAGGGCCGTCTTGGGGGCCTGCTGGATAATCGAAGGCTCCTCTGGAGCTGTCTTGGAGGCCTCTTGGAACTCTCATTGGCCTTTTTGGGGCGATGTTGTAGGCTCCTGGGGCCGTCTTCGACGACGTCGCAGCCGAAGATGTTTCCGACGGGAATGGGGCAATTTTTGATTCTGGAGGCGCTCTTGAGAATCCTCTTGGGGGACTCTTGGGCCGTCGTGGGAGCTCCCGGAGGCCGTCTTGGAGCCATCTTCGGCGTCTTGGAACGACAATTCGGGGATTCTGGGCCCTCTTAGACGTGTGGAGACCTCCTGGGACCCTCGGGTGGCGTTTCGGGGCTGTCTGGGGCTGTCTCGGAGAGGCCCCAGAGACCCGGGTCCCCCCATGCCCCATCGGGGTGGCTGCCCCAGGCGCCCCAGCCTCGTGCACGGGGATATACGTGTGTGTATATATACATATTATATATATATATATATGTAAATATAGACATACATACATACATGGATACATACATACATACATGCATGCATACATACAAACATACATACATACATACATACATATACATATACATACATACATACATACATACATGCATGCATGCATGCATGCATGCATGCATGCATGCATGTTTACATACATACATACATACATACATACATACATACATACATACATACATACATACACACATACACACACATACATACATACATACATACATACATACATACATACATACATACATACATACATACATACATACATACATACATACATACATACATACATACATACATACATACATACATACATACATACATACATACATACATACATACATACATACATACATACATACATACATACATTACATACATACATACATACATACATACATACATACATACATACATACATACATACATACATACATACATACATACATACATACATACATTACATACATACATTACATACATACATACATACATACATACATACATACATACATACACACACATACATACATACATACATACATACATACATGCATGCATACATACATACATACATACATACATACATACATACATCGATGCATCTATACATATATATATATATATATATATATATATATATGTATGTATATATATTGCACTTTTCCCACGGAAATGCCCCTCCCCAGGCTCGCAACCTGCTTTCTATCAAAGAATATCTTCCTGCTCAAACCGGGCCCCTGGCCCCCGAACTACCAAAACGGCTCCCGCCTGATACTCCCTCACAATAGATTCCCAAATCGCGCTTTCGCGCGGGACTTGTTTTACGATGGTTGCAAGAATCGCGCTCTCGTGTGGGACTTCCTCGCATTTTTTTCACACGCCGCGCCCTCGACACTCAGGAAGAATGCTCTCGCTTTGGGCTTTCTCACGATTTACTTGGAGATTGGACTGTCGCTCGAGACTTCTTCGAGATTCATGCAGTAGTCACGCTTCAGCAACCCGCCTGCTCCACCTGGCCGCCTGCGCCCGCCTTCCCGGCCCGCCCGCCAGGATCTGCCTGCCAGATCTGCCCGTTTGGTTCTGCCTCGTATTTTCTGCTCCTAGAACCCCTCCTGCAAATTTCTCTCGTGCTCCGTCCTTCTCCCTCCCTCTTCCATCCGTCCTCTCCTCCCCTGTTTCAAGGGCTGCACGACATGCACGTGGCAGGTAAGGAAGAGAAACCCCGAAAAGAGGTACGATCGAAGACAGAGAGGGCGGGTACCGACGGTTCGGGATAGACGCATTGAATAGCACGCGAGCAGGTAGGAGCGAACCAGTTCGGGGCCCAACAGCGCAGCTTGAGCACGAAGATTTTGAACCGCATAGAGAACAAGGTGCGAACCAAGAGAGGGGGGCGCTTCAAAAATAAATAAAAGTTACGACTGTGTGCGGATCAACAAAATAATCTTCAATAACGAGCATTCAACAGCAGCAACAACAAAAAAAATCATGTTAAGACTGTTCGCTCTGATCTGCTCGCGTGACATTCAACACGTATACCCCAAACCCTCAATACCCGCCCTCTTCGTCTTCGATCATACCCCCATTAGGGGTGTATCCTTCTTACCTGCAAGGTGCATGTCGTACAGCCCCCAGGCAGGTGAAGAGAGGACGGATGGAAGGAAAGGACAAAGGGCAGAGGGGTTGCTGAAGCGCGCGTCCTGCATGAATCGCGAGGAAGTCTCGAGCGACAGCGCGATTTCCACATGAACCGTGAGGAAGTCCACAGCCAGAGCGTGATTCGCGGCGTCTGAATAAATTGCGAGGAAGTCTCGCGCGAGAGAGCGATGTCTGTCTGAATTGTGTGAGGCCGTCCCGCGCGAGAGCGCGATTTGGGAATCAATTGTGAGGAAGTATCAAGCGGGAGCCGCTGTTGTTGTAAGCTGAGGGGCAACAACCAAGTTTGGTGGCACCTCGCTTTTCCTTGTACAAAACAAGGCGCGAGCCCTGGGAAAAACACGTCAAATGGAAGATGATACGGTTACCGGGCAGGGAGGATCAACAATAATTATTCTTGAGACATGAAACTCCACCAAAACATCGATAACAACAACAGCAAAAACAACAACAACAACAACAACAACAACAACAACAACAACAACAACAACAACAACATGAACACCGACAATAATAACACCAGCAAAAACAACAACAAACAAGCAACAACAACATAAACAACAACAACAACAACAACATAAACAACAACAACAACTCAGCATCTTGATCCTCGTCGTCCTCCCCCTCCTGGCTATCATCACCATCATCACCACCCATCACCACACATCACCACCCATCATCATCATCATCATCATCATCATCATCATCATCGTCATCATCATCATCAGCATCACCATCATCATCAGCATCAACATCATCATCATCATCATCATCATCATCATCATCATCATCATCAGCAGCAGCAGCATCATCATCATCATCCCCCCCTAGCGCAAGGGCGTGCGCCGTAGACCTGCGGAACTCCTCGAAACCTCTCTCGCCATCCTTGGGCGGCACGGGGGATGTGGGGGGGGCGGCATCCCCCCCCTCCCCTGAGGATCAACGATAAGGGGGAACCAGCTCAGGGGGGGGGGGGGGGGACATCGACCGCAAATCGGCGACACGTCGGCGCTGGGCCCCCCGACAGCGAATCCGCACGCCCCTGGGCGGAGTGGGCTATCAGTCTTGACTCCAGACTGATACTGGCAAGCGACGCCGAGGCCCCGGCAAATCCAACAGGCGCGATCGGCCCCCTCGAATGGCGGGCGAACCAATACGTAAGACGATGTCGCAAAAGTGAGTTTGGAATTTGGGGATCCGCGCAAGAAGCTAATCCACTCGCCCAGAGTGTAGCTCTCTGTGCCTGTCCGATACCGGCGAGGAGCAGGCGTTCGGAGGTGGCTGCGCTCCCCCCTCTGAGCCGGCTCCCCCCCCCCTCGACGCGGCCCCCGACCCCCAGCCGCGCGGCCGTTCCCGACGGCGGCCGCCCGTCGACCGGGGCCGGGCAACGCGCCGCCCAGCCCCCTGGCGGCGTCCCGAGCGGCCCGAGGCGGGGCCGGCCGTCGGGTCCCCCGCAGGGCCGTGGGCAGACGTCCGCGGGCGAGGGCGAACGGCCCGGGCGACGGGGCCCGCGCCCCCCCGCTTCCGCCCCCGCCGCCCTCCTCCCCTTCCCTGGGCCCCTCGTTCCTCCCCTCTCCTCGGCCCTCCCCTGTCTGCCCAGCGCCCCCCCCCCCCGCCCCGTCCCGTCCCCTGGCCGCTGCTGGGATCCCTCCACTGCCCTCCCAGCCCCATGCGGCATCAAATCTCCCCAAGCTCCCCTCGTCTCCCCCCGCTCCCCTCCTCTCTTCTTCTCCCCCTGCCAGCTCTTCCTGATCCTCCTCTCCGCAATCATTTTGCTCAAGTGCCAGCGGCTCCTGGCTCTCCGCTATCGTGCTGGCCCATTTTCGCGAGCTGCGATGCGTCGCGCGCGCCCCCCATGCTGCCCCGCTGCTTTGGAAGAGCACCAGGGCAGCTGCACGCACGGTTGCTGTACTTGCGGGTGCCAGAATGGGACGAGATCCAGGCTCGTGCGCGTGTGCTTCCACGCTGCCTGTCAAGCCATCAACAGGCTCCCAAAG